CACCCTTCAATGAACAACATCCGGGTTCCTGTGGTTTGGGATGTGGTTCCTGGCTTTGCCTGCTGTTTAATGACAAGCACTGGTTCTTTCACGGCCAGGCCATCCATGGTTAGCAGCAGGTGCCTCTCTCTCTCTTAGGAACTCGAAAGGGCCCTTGAAGACAAATGGGTCCTCGGTGTCAGGGAGATACAAGCATGCAGAAGAAACCGAGACTCCGAGAAAATGTTGGTTAGAAACACCTTCTTTGACTAGTCTTGTTCCACATGGCATAGAAATGGAGTGCTATCATGCACCCCCAGTGTGTGTTTCCTTCGCTCCTCTGCTCCCCGCCAGCATCAGAAATTAAGGCCATCTCTGGATTGTTTGCTAGCCTGAAAGCTTACATCCAAGAGCGGGCCATTCACTCTGCCTGGATTCAGTGAGTTGGTTCCAGCCCTGGATTTGGACATGCTCCCTGACTTCTGACTTCTCTGTTCTGACATACAAACTTAGGTGAACCTGTAACTGACCATCCATGAGCTTCCATGGTCATCTCAGTGCCTGGAAAAAGCTGGGGAGAGGGGACAAGCATTTCTAGTGGTCTTGTGGGCCAATTCTCATACTCCTGTAGCTTCTATTTATAATGCAGAGAAAAGGTACGCCCTTGTAAACTTCCAACAAATGTGATGTAAAGGAGGGTCAAGTCTATCAGTCCTTTTCAGGAGAATAGGGGAAAGATATTTCTTTGGAGGAGCTTGTGTTTTGTTTCCCAGTAATTGCTGGGTTTGTATGTACAGAAATGTGTTGTTAATCTCAACAGCTTCCCCTCTCCCCCATATATCTAACATCGTGATCATGATGTAGACATTTGATTAGCTGTTAGTGACTAAGCCGTAGAACTGGATTCTTCACCGAATTCTATCATCTGATTCCTTTCACCAGTTCAAAGTGGCCTTGTGCTCAAGCTCAGTAAAATCTGGAGCTGAGATTTTACTTTTTAGATTAGTTAGCTAGAAAAAATAGTTAGGTAGGGCTGTTTAAAGTTACTGTTGAAAACTTTAAAATGGCTGTGAACAATTTTGTATTGTCTGTCTACATGTTAAATGACTATGCTTCTCCTAGGTTAAGGATGAAATCAGACAGGATTCAAAAGAGGAATCAATCATACATTGCTAAAATTTGGATATTTTTTCCCCTTTAACATATTGAATCTATTCGAAGTGTGTGTGTGTGATCTGTTAGGTCCTTACACAAGTGAATGGCCCTGGGTTCCTAAAGCCCAGTCCTTATGCAGTGGCCCTGGGTTCCTAAAGCCCAGTCCTCCCTGATTCATACGTTCATCATTTCCCTGGTGCCTCCCCACCCAAGGAGAGCCAGCCCGCTTAGTTTGTTGTTCAAGTCTGTCTGTGAATAAGCCCTCGCCACCCTCTCAGCATTATTTCTTACTGTTCCATAGCTCAATCATGCGTACATCATAAGCTCCTTTCAAACTAGCTTCTTGCTTTCCCGTGCAGGAGGCACAGTACACATTATTAGTCAGAGACCGCTGTCAGCCCATCTCTGCCTTACTCATGCTGATTCTCCACTCGGCAAACCTTTCCCCCATTTCTACCTGGGGGAAATGTTCTGCCCATTCCACAGGGCTCCATACAGGGACTACATTCTCTATCGTTTTTCCCAATGGAAGGAGGTCTTTTCTGTATTTGAACTCTTGTTGAACATTGTAATTCCCTCATCTTACGTGTCACCTTCTCTATGGTTTTTATTGATATATATTATATGTCCTGGTTCCCCCATGTCTTAGACCATAGCACAGATAAGGACTCCACAAAACATTCTTGAATAGGTGATATTTCCTTTTCCTTTCATCTGTCCATTCAGCCATCCATTTGATCATCAGATACTTTACTGAACACCCACTCTATGCCAGGCACGGGGAGCTGGCAAAATCTAAGCCTGGAGCTTGTATGTGGGTTTCAATGATCTATGCTATTCTCTCATGGGGAAAGATTTGTTCTTATCATGCAGGAGTATTTTGTCTTGTCCTTTCCAACAATTTCAGTGTTTTTCAAGTTGCTACCTCATTGGCAAATTTAGCAATGCATGTCAAGATTTTGCATTTGTGCACTGAACACACTCAAGCCTCGTCTTATCCTTTCTATTTCTGTTTTTATTTACCCAAGCTCCTCGCTTATTTTTGCATTATATGTTTTTTAATAGCCACCTTGAAATCCTTCTGAAAGGAAGCAGGGTACCAATAAATTGAATACAATTACAAAAAAGTTCATAATTGGTTTCACACTACTAATTCACACAATGAAACCTTCCTGGAAAAGCTCCTGCAGGAGAGAAGAATTCAATAAATTGTAGGTCTTCCTTGGACCCATTCAAGAAGGCTAAGTTTCTACGGTAATTATAAGGTGATCTTACTTTTCACGTGATTCCACTAACGCGGTCTTGAGAAAATTGCTAGGAAACACTAATATAATCATTCTAGTAATTGACGGTATTTGAAACTGCATTGTGAAACCTGGGACCATTTCACAGAGGCTGGGAAACATGAACAAAACATGTCAATTTACTTAAAAAAACTTTCTCTATCATACTAATCTTTTTTAAACTAAGATTGTTAGGGAGATGACTAACTTTAGAGAAATAAAGAGACCAAGATTATAGAAAGGAGATACAACCTGGGAGAAATGTCTCCAGAACCCAGAAGAGTTCATAGAGTCTTTGCAAAACCAATACCAACGGTGTTCACTCTGTATTCTCTCTCCTCATGCTACAGAAATTCCATACATCTGCCAGCAAGCTATCATAACCTTAACACTTAACACTCACTACTGAAAGGGAGCTCTTTCAGCCACATTAAGATTTTGTTGTTTTACACCCATATTTCTTTTTGGACATTTTTAATGAATATAGCCCCCCCACCCTGCCATCTCTCTGGATATTTCAGGCTTCACACATTGTATTTAGTTTAGACAGACTTGTTGAGTCTCAAAACTAGTTCAAAACTTTGTATTCACAAAAAACTACTGATAATTTGTCCATAGTTCATCCCCAAGGGTGTGTTTCACAGACCAGGCACTGTATCTGTAGGGGTAAGTTTAGGGAAGAAAAAAACATGGTGTTGCCACACGTTACATTGACAAAATGACCCCAGGAAACCAGAATTCTAAACAATTCATACAGAAGAATGGAAAAGAAGTTCTAGAAAATAGGCGTTACTTGAATTTACCGGCATTCATTGGCCATAGGTGCAATATGCAATTTACTTAAAAGCATGTTTTAAAAAAACAAAACAAAACTAGTTTCTATTGACCTTCTGTTTTATTCTATACTAAAGCCCAGGGCATCGGCCAGGAAGACTTGTCAGGCTTGGTGGTTTTATCTGCGTTTGTCAGGTGCCAGTGCTGCTCATTCCCTGCCCTGGGAGCCCCCAAGGGCAGAATATTATACTTTGTTCTATTCCCATTGCTTCGCCCTTGATACAGTCTCAGTCACTGTTCACTGAGTGAAAAAATGGACTTCTGCCTCCTGTCTGTAATCCTAAAGTATGCCAAGATGGCACGAACCTCAACCTTTCAACAAAGAATAGATTTCACATTAGTTGATGTAGTCTAGAAAACTTTTGGCATAACACTAGATCTGGGAGAGGGAGGGCAAGAAATCTGCTATTTTGCCCCCCTTTCAGGAAACCCCCATAAAGACTGTAGCTTGATTGCCACCGTGCCTTTGAGTTCACGCGTGCAAGACTGCGGGCTGCCGCAGGAATCCCGGGGACTCAGGAGTAGAACTGATAAGCCGTGTGTTTTTTTCCTGCCACACATTCTCTCATCTAGGTTATTTAGGAGAAAATTCCTTTAAGAGCCCCTCTTAGGGGGTGCAGACCTTACCAGGTAGGCATTTTTCTGGGCTTCGGTGAACCTGCTCTGGGAAGAACAGACAAAATATGTATCTAAAAGCAAGCTACTCGTATCTGAGAGTAAGGTTCAGAAGTGAAATGTGATCTCTTGGAATGCCATTACCTCACAAGCCGAGCTGCAACAGTTCTGTTTTCAGAGAAGCCCCCAAGGCTCACGGCTCACGCGGTGGCAAATCTCAACAAACTACGCAATTTATAATTTTGGAAATCTGAAATAGAATTTGCAATGTGATCTCAGAGGCTGGGTCACTTCTCCTTGTAAAGATTTTTATCCGATTAGAAAACAAACGGCCTACTTCTTCAAGGCATATTATTGCCATGAAATCATGCTCCGACTTTGCCCCCTTTGATTATATCAGCAGGAGCCGAGAGGCTGGTAAAAGAAAAGGTATGACAGAGAGTTAATTTCTGCCAGTGCCCTTCTGGCCTTCACCGCAAGAGATGGTTAGCTGATTTTTTAATTTTTTTTTTCTGGGCATTCAAGTAGTGCTTTGATGGTGCTTCTTACCACATTGTTGGGTCTGCAAGGCTGCCTTAGGATAGCTCTCAGACCTCTGGGGGAAACGGTCTCAGAGTCCCTAACCTTTGCTGGATCCTAAAGTGAGAGTTTGGAGATTGGGAGAACCTTGGTGAATAAAAAGAAGCCTGTGTCTTCTCCATGAATTCATTTTTGTGAGATTTCAGAGTTTCTTGCTGAGAAAGTGCCCACGTCCACCTGCCCACACCCACACCCGCCTGCTTTGGCACATCTCCAGGAGGAGCTGCAGCCTCAGGGTGGCTCCCAAAGTGAGCCCCTTGCTTCTGGGGTCTCCATAAGAAGCAAAAAGATTCAACCAGCAAAGCAAAGGCCTAGGAAACACTAGCCGCCATCAGCTCTGATGGTCACACCTAAGACAGAATTTCTTGCAGCCTCTGGTTTAGCTTCTTCTTCTTCTTCTTTTTTTTTTTTTTTTTAAAACAAGGGGATCAGTGATGAAACCCAGGTTAAACTCTTCGACAGAACTATCCGGAAGAGCAAAACTAGCAAATGACAGGCTATGACTGGGGACTGACTCTGGGGAAGGCTGGATTTTTGAAATGAGAGCCAAAAATGTTTTCATCCTCTAGCCCACGGTTTAAGTTACTGAAAAGGAATCACCACCGTTTCTACACGTTTCTTGTGTGTTTACTCCTACTCGGGAGAGTAATCTAACTCATCATTTGCAATCAGGGCCTCTGAGTTCTGTTTGTGTTTGCTTTTGCTCTTCGCTTTGCTACTTGTCCGGGTGTTGGCCTTGGCATCTGACATCTGCTGGTAATAGAAGCCTTTGTCTTCGGCCGGCCCGCCCCAGTTCTCCTGGCTCTCGCCTTCCGTGGCGTAGGAGAAGCCCTCCTCCACCGAGAAGGGGTCGTCCACGTCGTAGCGCTGGTATGTGCTCTGGTGCAGGGCTTCTTCGCGCGCGCTGATTTCCAGGGTGCTGTTCCAGATGCCGTACCCGAAGTAAATGAGCATACCTGCAGGGAGGGAGAGGCACAGGCCCGTAAGCAGTTGCTCTGGGGATCCACGGTACCAGCGGGGGGAGAGGGGGGTGCTCAGTGGTGAAAGCGGAGTCCGCTGTGGATGTGTTTTCTTTGGTCTACATCGTGTCTGGAAGAGACTCGAGCTAAGTGTCATTTAAAAACTGGGCTGTCTGGCATGAAGCAACCCGTATTTACAGCTTCCCCTAAAAAAGTCAGAGGGTCTCACGACCCTACTCCCACAGTCCTATATGGCAGGTGTGACGGGAGGCGAGCGCTAGCTGCCTCTTTAGACAGAATGTGGACTCTCTAGTCACCTCTGTCCCCACCTCCCTGTATCACTACACTCATGCAGGTGCCAACTAGGAATTTGCATTTTCCGCCCCGACTTAAATATTTGTGAATCACCCACAGTGTCTCCCCAACCTTCTTGTAGCGTTTTATTACCCCACGCCCCGGTTAGGGACGCCATCTTTTTTTTTTTTTTTTTTTTTTAAGATTTTATTTATTTATTTGAGAGAGAGACAGTGAGAGAGAGCATGAGCGAGGAGAAGGTCAGAGGGAGAAGCAGACTCCCCATGGAGCTGTTGAGCCCGAAGTGGGACTCGATCCCGGGACCCCGGGATCATGACCTGAGCCGAAGGCAGTCGTCCAACCAACTGAGCCACCCAGGCGTCCCGGGACGCCATCTTTTATCTCCCCACCCAGCAGTGCACATATACCGCCCCATGGTTTACTTCGCCATTTTTCACTCACCAAAGGAGTATTGTTATCACTGCCATTCAGAGCTGTTCGCTCTCAAAGGGTCTGCTGCCTGCCACTGTTAGGGCCCTTGGAACGCCTACTGTGTGATTATCTGCCCAGAGTGCTTCTATTTTGAGACTCTGTGAAAAACTGGCACTTAATCTTTGTTGAATGAATGAATGAATGAATGAGAACTTCTGATGAGCATGAAATTTCCAGTGCAACCTCCTTAGCTGATGTCATTCCAGGCCAAGGGAAGAAACTTATTTTCCTAGGCAATATGGAACATTAATTAGGGTTAATGTTTCATTTCTATTATAATTTTTCTGTAATTAAGTATAAAAATAGTTTGAGGGGCGCTTGGGTGGGGCAGTCCGTTAAACATCCAGCTCTTGGTTTCCGCTTGGATGGTGATCTCAGGGTCCACTCAGCTTGGAGTCTGCTTGGGATTCTCTCTGCTTCTCCCTCTGCCCCCCTGCTCATGCTCTCTTTCTCTCTCTCAAAATAAATAAATAAATATTAAAAAATTGTTCGACAACCCCCATTTTCTATCTTGAAAAGCTCACGGAGGCTCAGAGTTTGAAATAGCTGAGAATCATAGCCTTGGGGGGGGGTCATAGGGCATGATGATTAAGAGTGTGAGCCCTGGGTTCAAATCCTGCCTCCATCACTATTAGCCATGTAACTCTGGACCAGTTACTTAGCTTCTTTGTGCCTCATTTTCTCTTCATGATAGTCACTGCACCTATGACATGGGGTTGCCATGAGGATGAAATGGGTAAGCAGTGCTTTCAACTCTGACTTCAGCTGGAGGGCCACCTGGGGAGTTTTTGAACTGCCCTTACACCTAAGCCCCACCCCTAGAGATTCTAATTTAATGGGTCTGCAGTGTGATCAAAGCATAGGTATGGTTATTTTTTTTTCTCTTCATTATATCTTTTATTTTTTAAATTAACATATAATATATTATTTGCCCCAGGGGTACAGGTCTGTGAATCATCAGTCTTACACAGTTCACAGCACTCACAATAGCACATACCCTCCCCAATGTCCATCATCCAGCCACCCTATCCCTACCCCCCGACTCCCCAGCAGCCCTCGGTTTGTTTCCTGGGATTAGGAGTCTCTTATGGTTTGTCTCCCTCCTGATCCCATCTTGTTTCATTTTTTCCCTCCCTAACCCCCATGACCCTCCCCCCTCAAATTCCTCATATCAGAGAGATCATATCAGAGAGACATAATTGCCTTTCTCTGATGGACTTATTTTGCTTAGCATGGGTATGTTTTAAAGTTTCACAGGTGAGTCCAATGGGCAGCCAAGACTGGGACTCCTTCAGACCAGGAGCATAAAGCTCCTGAGACCTGTATTCTGTTGCCTACACTGGCCAATTAGGGCTTGGCCACTGGATGCCACTCAGTTACACAACTCCCTTCCAACCCCCAGAATCCCTCTTCTGAGTGGCACCCATTCCTTTGACTTTGCTAACCCTGCAGGCATCTGCACAGCTGTTTGCTCAGAACCACAAGGTCACGTTCTGTTCTGTTTTCCTCTTTGGTGCCTGAGAAATCCTGCTCCTTTTGAATTTGAAGTGGGTCTTTTTCAACTTGGATTTCTCCCTCTCTGTTTCAAATGACTTTCTCCTTAACCCCTGCCCCATCCCCCAGTGAAATCAACTTTCCAGAAGCCAAAGAAAGCAGAGATTTATAGTCCTAATTGGTAATAAATCCTAGAGTTAATCATTTGCAGATGTAGCTACTCTCAAATAGCGACTTCATTTTTCTGAACATGGATCTTTACTCTTTCTTGTGTGTGTGGGGGGGCTGGGGGGCGAGTAGCCATGGGTGATAGTTATTACCCTTGTGTAGGACAAGGCATCAAGTTAAGGTCCCTTCTAAAAGGGATAGTATGTTCCTGGTTGGAGAATGTCTCTGTTGGAAGCATGTCTGAGACCTGAGAATAAATTTCAGGAGACCAGGTGGGATCAACAGGCACACAGCTCTTTTTGCCCATTTTTGCTGTTTTGCTATCTTTTCCCTTAGGCAATGAGGCAGGGGTTGAATCCTGCCTCCGATTCCTGCTTTGTCTCTATTATATCAATTCTTTCCATCTGATCCCCTTCTCAGACCCTATTTATAAGTGAGTTATTTCCCTACTGAACTTAATACCCTTTCTTTTCTTTCGCCTTTGCCTCTCAGCTCTCTGCTCTGCCATCACACAGGTCGTCATTCCACATGGTCTGACATCTATTCTGACAGATCTTCCCCTGCCCCACCAGGTGTGGTGGTGTCAGGTAGACTGATTTATGGAAATTCTCTAAGAGCCTCATAGAATCCTAGATATTTAGAGCTGGAAAGAATCTCTAGATCTGTTTCAGTACCTTCATTTTACAAAAAAAGAAGCAGGCTGAGGGCCGAAACAGCATTCGCATGGAGAGAGAGAAGAGTCTTGTAAGCCCAGTCCTTCACACCTGCGCTCCGCAGGCCGGCTTACCGACTATGCTTATCACAGTATGCACTGAGTAAGGGGTTATGGCTACATTCGTTCTTTGTTCTTTGGGAATGATGGCGTCCGGAGGAACATGTGTGCTCCTGAATGCACTGACTATGATTACTTTGAAAAAGCAACCCATGGAAATCTGTCGTGTAAGTATTTATGGGCCTTTTAATGTTTGCTCTGAGCCTCCTATAATTTCAAAAGTGTTATTTTGTCTTTAAAAATATATTTCAGGGCACCCGGGGGGCGCAGTTGGCTGAGCGTCTGACTCTTTGGTTTCCGCTCAGGTCACGATCTCAGGGTCGGGGGATGGAGCCCGGCGTTGGGCTCCGTGCTCAGTGGGGAGCCTGCCTAAGGCTCTCTCTCCCTCTGCCTCTCTCCACCATGCTCTCTTTCTCTCGATCTCAAATAAATAAATTAAAAAAAAATATATATATATATTTCAAACACGAATGCTCTGAACCAAGAAGTGACTGTGTGCACGCAGCCTGGTGGAAGCCACGCAGCCAACTGTCAGCCTGGGCAAAGGACTGGCATTCTGCCTGACGCTTCTTGTTGGCCCTTGAGTAAGTTCAAGGAAAGTGGTGTAAGGCACCAAGGATTGGAGAAAAGGAAAAATGGAGGGGCACAAAGCAGCAGAGGGGATCAAATGAAGTGAGGGAGGGAGAGGGTGGAAGGGAGGTAAAGAGAGTGAGGAGACAAGCATGGACGACCATCTGTCACACATAAACAAAGGCTTTGTGTCGGAGGAGTAAACAGAGCTGCTAAAAGCCTCCTGTGTAGCAGCAGGGTGTTTTGTTTCTGCTCCTTTTTTTTTTTTTTTCTTTCTTCAGTTGGCTTAGAAAACTAAGCATGAGGTAGTTTCTGAAAAATCTGTGGGGATTCTGGGAATTCTGAATCATCTAAACCGAACTTCACACAACACTTCTGGGTGCTGAGGTCCTCAGGATGCGCGATTTATGTTGTATCTTTCTCCCAAGGAGTTCAAAACATTATATATGTTATCTTGTTTAGATTCCTTGCAGCTTGTTTGGGAATGTGCGTGTGAGTGTGAGTGTGAGAGTGTGTGAGTGTGTGTGGGGGGGCAGGGAGTGGGGAGGTTAGGATTACATACGTCTCAGAGACAGGAAACGGGGGCATAGGACAAAATAAGATTTTCCACAGCAACATGGATGGTGTTGGGACTGTGAGTTCTTAGGGGTTCCCCGGGTCCCCATCCAGGGTGTATCTCACCTACCAGGGGTGGCCACGCGGGATAGACTGATTGAAAACAATTTTGCTTGGCTTTTTAGTTTGAAGAATTCCAAACGTGTACCAAAGTGGAGAGAGTAGTATAAAGAAGCTCAAATACTCATCACTTGCTTCCTCCTGACACCCACCCCACTGAGTCCTTGTTTTTAGATCATTTGGAAACAAATCCTTTCCATCCTATGCTCCATCTGTAAATAATTAAGTATGTATCTTTAAAATAGACTTAAAAACTTAGTATCATTATCACATCTAAACACTGATAATAATTCCTTAATATCTTCTGATATCCAGAATTATTGAAATTTCCATGAATTATTAAGCACGTGGGGAAAAATTCTTCACTTTATGAGACTATAGATTCACTCCAATGATGCTATTACTGCTTCATATAGTTTTTGGGCACTGTCATTTGTCACTGGGACGGGCATCATGTTCTTTCATAAACCCTTACAGATGGCAAAGTTTTACTTTTCAGAGAGGATTTGCTTTCCGCATAAGCAGAAGTCAT